ATTTGCTGGTTTTGTTAACAAATATATGCATTAAACAGTTCCGGCACACTTCTCCAGACATGCAAACATCCACACAGGGCTCTTCAGTACACAGTTCTTCAATTTGCATCAACATTTGTAGATCCTCTCGACTTTCATTTAACTGCTGTTCTATTGTTTTCACTTTCATTTCGGCTATTTCAATTCTGCCCCCAAGTTCATTTCGCTTTTCTTGAGCTAGTGATAATCTTCCAACTGTCTGGTTGTACTGTGTTTCGGTTTTACGAAGCCTTTCGAATGACAAATTGAGAGACATCTTACCTACTTCTTGCCGTGCATTGGCCATTTCAGCTAGCATTCTCAGTTTCTTTGTAACCACTTCACTCAGGCTCTCTATGAAGCTGGCACTGCCTGAGAGCAGAGAGCCGTCCACAGTCAATTCCAGGTCCTGCCAGTCAGTCTTGTTGGAAGGTGCAGTGATGGTCAGCTCAGCTGGATAGCCAAACACACTACCACTACTGGTGGAGATTGTCAGCTGATCATTCCTGACGGTGGCCTCTGACTCAAACACTCCTCCAAACAGAGTCACTTGTACCGAATGAAACTTAGAGACTGGTCCGAAATCCTCTCTTCCAAAGACAGTCACTACATCAGGACCTGTAGAGTTGGCCTGCAGTTTAAAGATGTTCCCAAGAGGCAAGCGATTGTTGACCAACTCAGATTCAATCACAAGAGCTGGGTCTTGAACTTCAAGGAAGTTACTGGTGAAGCAGTTAGGATTCTCTGATCCAATGAAGGTGATGGTGTGGGACATTTCAGGCAAGATGAGGTGTCCAATAGCAAGAAGAGGACACTCAGTGTGTAGACTGAGACCAAGAGCTCTGTAGTCACTGGTTATTGGCAAGAAGGCACTGAAGCTACAGCTCTGAGTGATTTCAGTGAATCGAAGAAGTCGTGTGAAGAATAGCTCACCAGGCTGTGGCTGGTAACTTGCTTCAAAAGATAATCCTGTCTTGCTCTTGCAAGGATCCCCACCACCTAGATACAACAAATAGAAACAAGTAAACAAGAAGAGCATTTTGTAGAGACCCACCTTCAATGTAAAAGTAGGCATTTGTCGTTCTGTCGTAGCTGTTGAGATGGAAGCTCTGCTCAGTTCCATCAATCTTGCTACTAGCTACTAAAGTAATCTGGCCTTCCAGTGTTCCTTGTCTTTCCTGTCGGTATTAAAAGTAGCAAATACATTAATAGGCACATGTAAAATTAATATAGACAGCTTACTCTGTATTCAAATGAAGCATCTCCGCTGAATTCCACCATGAAATTGAGGCCACCCTCGTTAAACTCAAGCTCAAGCTCTGTGTTCACCGAAATATCTACTTTTACATCTGGCAGTGACATCATCTCCATGCCATTCCAAAATGTATCACTGCTACTTTGAGTAACAGACTGTTTGAAGACTGACACGGTATTGAAGAGAATGCTCCACTGTCTGTCAGTGAACCCAAGGAGATACTGGTAGACTAGAATGTCATTGATTGGCTGGGAGATCTGCATGTGAACTGGAGACTCTGATTCATGACACAAGTCAACTGCAAAACACATGACATCTCCAGTGGTCCCAGTCTCATCGTCCTCTCTGTAGTCATATCTCTGGCCGTCTATAACTGCTGATAGAGTTTTGTCATATCTCAACACTGAATACCTACTACCTTCCAGGTTAGTGAGTTTGTTACAACCTTCAAATAAGGAAACTGGCTCACTGGGTCGAGTGACTGGTGCAAACAAATCGATTTTATTTGATGTAATCGACTCTAATGACAGCCTTAAATCCACAAACAACTTCAACCAGGATGGAAGTAATGTCTGGGTTTGATTGATGTAAGTGAAGGCCAATGCTCTAGCTTGGAGAAACTCCACAGTGTCATCTGGCGTGTGATTATAACAGGAGTACAGGCTATTGGTACTGCTGCATTCATGGCAAGATTCAATTTCTAGCCTAATGTCATTGATGTAAGGTCTTCCAGAAACATCTCTGTATCTGAAGCTGGAGAGAGAAGTTGGTAGAGATAGGGTACTACTCTGAACAAACACAACACCAGCATCTGTTCTTGCAACACCCTTGCCAGTTTTTCTCCACTGACATGGTGACAGCAGTGATATTGACTGAGTGGAGCCCCAGGACAAGATAGTGTGACATGATCATCTGCACTGCAACAACTTGGCTCCAACAGTCCTCTTGGAAGATTAAACTGTTCAAAGTGTGATTTTCTCTCACTATTTGATCCACCAGTTACTAATACATCTCTCTCCCTTGGCAGATAGATGACCTTGTCAGTATTCGATGGCAGACTAAGTCTGGGTACCCCTATGTCACCACGTACTATTGTTGGATTTCTGTCTTCTCGGTTTATGCCTACTATTTTATGCGATTCTTGTTGGTTAGGAATTTTAATAGCAACTCTTTTTCTATCTTCAAATCCATCAGGGAATTCAGTAACAGTTGTGTACAGTACGATAGGAATAAATAATCCGTCAGTCACAGGTGGAATTGGTAGGAAGTGTACAATAACTGCTCCACAAGTCTGTCCACCATAACCATTTGCTGTTCCATTGCATACACATCTAAACTCTGTGCCAGCCTCAATACAAAATCCTCCATTCAGACAAGGATTTGGGTCACATAGACCACTCTCTGAATAGAAACATAAAGTGCTTCTATTATACACCCTAGCTTAGTGTATTACGTAGTTGTGGATATTTTTGTTACGCAGGCAGCATTTTACCACTGACACAATATTGCTCATGTGATTCAAAAACAAGTATGGGGGAAAGCATGCAACTACCATTATGGGCTTTTTCACCCTTGCAAAATAGTAGAGTATAGACTCACCCACACACTGTGGTCCATCACTCCACACAAGACTGACGTTATCCTTTGTACATGTCTGATTGCTAGGACCCTCTAAGCTGTAGCCATGGGCACACACAACACGACACAGATGGCCCTCCTCTCTGGTACATGGGAACAACACAAATCCATTGTCAGGAGGAGTGAGGTGAGGGCACATTGGAGGGTCACATATGGCGGGAGGTTCCCTCCACTGGAGGGAGGGGAGACAGGTCCGACTGTCTGAGCCTCTCAGAGTGTAGCCCTCGTCACAGGTGAACCTGCAAGTCCCACCCACTGTCTGTGTGTCACAGTCCATAGAACCATTCAGTGGAGCTTCAAGAACCGGATCACAACTGAGAGCTGTGAAAAGAACATCGTCCCTCGTATCTCGACCTTCTCCTCCTTCCCTCTTTCTCCTCTCTTTTCTCTCCCACAAATGTATATACTTACCTTCACAATTATGGAATCCATCATCCAACATCCTATATCCCTGCTCACAACTACATCTGAAGCTCCCAAATGTATTAGTACAGGATTGCTGACAACCTCCATTCATGATCCTGCATTCATCTACATCTGTTCAGTAACATTTTTATCACTTGATTATTATATTAGTAAGTTGTTCAACTAACCACCACAAGAATTCTGATCCACCTTATATTCATATCCCTCCATACAAGAGCAACTGTAGGAACCAGGAGTGTTGACACATTCCTCAGTGCCCTTGGTGCAGAGCCCACGCTGTTCTTGGCATTCATCCACATCTGAAACAGTTCTAAAAATGTTACTTGTGTGTAGTGGAGAAATGTATACCTTTGCAAGTTATGTTGTCAGTAGCTAAACGGTACCCAACATGTTCATCACAAGTACAGCTGTAGCTCCCTTCAGTGTTGATACAGCGAGCCGGTGTGGGTCCACTCTTATTGCATTTATCAATCCCCTCACTACACTCATCAATATCTGCATAGTAAGCATGTGTTATCTTAGAGACTACTCATCGAAAATGCCATGCATGCCTGTGCAGAAAGATGATCCAAACAGGCGGTATCCCTCTCTACATTCACAGCGGAAAGATCCATCAGTGTTGACACACATTTGGCTGCAGAACCCATTAGGAAAGAGTTCACATTCGTTCACATCTGCGGTTGATACATGATGTATAATGGAAGCACTCTCACAAAAATGACATGAAGCAGTATATACCTCCACAGTGTGTGCTATTTGCCAGCTGAAAGCCACGCTGACAGTTGCAGTAGTATGATCCAAGAGTGTTGACACAGATCTGACTGCAGTCATGGCTCCCTCCCTCACACTCATCAATATCTGTATCAGACATATCAAAAGCACACACTACACGTCGCTGTCCATTAGCCTACCCATGCAGGAGGTTCCATCTGAGGTGAGTAGACTGTATCCAGCTCTGCATGAACAGCTGTAGCCACCAGGAAAGTCGGTGCAGATCTGGTCACAGCCTCCATTGTCTTCATCGCAATGTCTTATAACTGGAGAAAAGCGGTGACTGGAATTGTAATTATGCAATGTCTTACCTTCACCACATGAGGCACCAGTGTATCCAGGAGAGCAGTCACAGAGGCCAGTGTTGACATTGCACCTTCCATTGACACAAGGTGGCTGACAAATCTCTAGGGTAGTGGATGATATACATGCACATACTGAGTGAGAGTGTACTGTGCCATAGCACATGGTCGTTTGAGGTTTGCCTTTGTCTTGTATATTATATAGATTCAAACCCCTACCAGCTGAGTTGCCCATGGTAGCTCACTTAGTGGAGTGTTGTTCATTTGAATCCCACCCAGGGCAGCTCTACTTATTTCCTTGAAAAGAAGAGTTGTCCTGGGTGGAGTTGACCTGTTTGCTTTGCCTTTGCCTTGTTACCTCGTTACATGTATGCATTATTATAGCCTCATGTAATGGCAATGTCTTTATATATTATAGCTAACCTCTTGAACAGTCTCCCTCAATCCATCCTTCAAAACACTGGCAGACTCCAGGATATCGACATACTCCATTCACACAGCCTGAAGTACAGTTCACTGAGGACATTTAAAAGGGACTTATTTGACTGTGCACTGAAATGTTGACTGACTTACAGTCATCATCTAGTATGATAATTGTAGCTCTATTTCTATAGGGGTAGCGCACACCTCTTCCAGCAGCATTTCTTATGTACTGGAGATATATCCAAAATATTTCATCATCCTCTGCCACGTCATCATCATTGATGGTAACGTTGAAACACTGCCTGCTCAGATTGGCTGAGAGACTAAGTTCCTGACGTAGTGATTCATGATCCACCTTGTCTTTAAGAGGTGATGCAGTAACAAATGGTGACACACACTCTGAGTGTAACTATACGTAATATACCTTGGGTGGTGATGTTTCTGGTGTAGAGAGTGGTTGTGAACACTTCAGAGACATTTGCATCAGTAATAATCACACAGACGGTGACTACTCCCTCACTCTCTAGCACTGAGTAGGATGGCCTCTCCAGAGCAAATGAGAACACTGCACGTTAGTACACAGACGGCATTTGGCTACTTACACAATCAGTAGAAACAGTTAAAGGCTGATAGAAAAAAATAAGCCACTTTATGGAGAGTAATTTTACACTATACTTTATTGAGGGTTTTTGGTGGAATCTAATCTATCATTTTTACCCGCGCACTCAGCTACAGACGCCATCGCATCTTTCATTTTGTAGTATGGTTAGTGATGCTATGGATTAATTGTCGAATAGTCACGAGAGAAAATCAATGAAATGACTAAACAGACCTTCATTATCTTGTATGTAAATATAAGTCCGATCGAAGAAGTGATTATTTCTGATGGAATCGTTGAGTGCATCAAAAGCAAAGTAATATGACACAGTTGTTGGCTCAAGTTGGTCATCATCAACTATGGTTAAATTGAAACATTTCCTGTCACCAGTAGCCATTGAGAAATTACTGGCATTGAAACTGATGTCATCACCTGTGGATGAACAATATAATGAGGCTTGTACCCCATCAGCATGCCATCACTGGTATTTGCGTGATGGAAAAAGTGACACCCTAGAATCCTTACCATAGTTGTTTTCAAAAAATGTAGCATCAATAGTTGGTGGTACATTATCCCCTCGATAGGTGACACACAGTTCTGCAGTCCCCGAGGCTTCTCCATAATATGTGCGAGTGACATCAAACCGTAAACCTAAGGATCATAAATGAATATTATTATTGCCATATAACTTTATTACAGTTTACCATCATCATCCTCAATGTAATAATTAAAACTGCAGCAGTGATTCCTTCCACCAGGAACAAAGATCCCGACGATAAGATTAATTACCTCTTGATGAAATTCTGCAAGGCTATCATTGATGATAGTCACATCATATCTCTTTGAGACTCCAGGAGATATGGTGAAGTTAAAGAAACGTGACGATTGAGTAATATTTTGAAACTCGAAATCCTCTCCAGGAATAGCATACCTACGATCTGTACTCATTGGATCAAACAAAAAAGTGTGAATGTATTAGAGAGTCCGTAGACTCTCTATATAGGGATGACGCGGATGAATCTCACGTGATCCGCGTACAAAACGACTAAAAACTCGGTGAGAATCACTCCCTAGGCCGCAAAAACATACTAGCAGTAGTCTACGGGCCCATATCTACCTATACACGTCCCCCAAGACCGCATACGCACCTTCAGTCGTCCACGAGAGAATTCGCTATTACGCGATTTCATGATTTTCATATTCTTCATCTTCTTCTTCTTCTTCTTCTTTAAAACCCGCTATCTCCTTACCAGTACCAGTTCAAGCACTGATTTTTTCACTGAAGGTCTCCAATTTCGCCGGAGGTGTGCACGGACATAAAGCGATCGTTTCTTTCTCGCCGCTAGTCACTACGGTAGATCGTGGAGCTCTTCAAGGTCGACACTGAAGAACGCCATTTGCTGCTAACTCAGCACAAGTGAGCCGCGCGCATGCGCAAGGCAGGGGCGTTGTCCTATGCGCTTGCGTGCGTATTCTACCAGGCGAGTTGCCCGGCAGAGGAACTCTCAGCCTCCAGTACCTTCTGTAAGTAAGTGTGTACATTTCCAACTGGCTAGTTGGTTTGCACGAAGAGCAACTTGCCAGAGTCTGCGCTGTGTTACGCGAGCCGCGGGGCGCTCAGTCAAATGGCCTTCATTGTTTGTCAGGTTGTAGCCTGATTACCAAAGCCTGCCCATGAAACCACAACCATGTGCAATAATCTAATTACATCCTTGTTGAAGACAAAACATGAGGTGAACGAGCCCCTGCTTCAGGCACTGTAGCAGCCCCATTATAGCTACTACATACAATTCGTCATATCTACAACATACCCATGAACATCAGAGTAACTGTAACAATAAATGCAGTGTTGTCATTAGCTGTTAAAAATAGTGGGAACAAGTGGAAAAATCATTTCTTCAAAAATGAAAGGGGGATATAGGGATGGCTTGAAGCACCAAAAAGGAAGAAACAAGGGGTCATTACACAGCAAAGTTGCACAAAACTACATGACACCATCCCTATATCTTTGTTCGATATTAAACTTTGCTTATAAACAATAAAACAAAGATATAGGGATGGTGTCATGTAGCTTTGTGCAACTATGCTGTGTAATGACCCCTTGTTTCTTCCTTTTTGGTGCTTCAAACCATCCCCATATCCCCCTTTCATTTTGAAGAAATGATTTTTCCACTTGTTAACTTACTATCGAAATAGTTCAAGTAAATAAATGCTTCTCTGGTAATGTTGACTCTGGAATAAATGTTTATGGCATGCCTCCTCCCTGCGTCCTCACGTGCGATGCTGGAGTAGCTGTAGTAGCAACCTAAATCTATTGGTATGAGATTGCCCTTACTGTGGCTACAGTGTAAGCATTTGTAGACACACACATACTCACCATAATTAGCATCCACCAGATGAATAGCAGTAGCCAAAAAAATGAAAGCAGGAGCATAGCCAAAGACAGGCATGGTTCCTGATAAGCAAACTCTGCTATTGAGCTGGCTAACCGTCTCTGGCTCAGTTGGCTTTTTATGCTGCGGTAGTGCCAAACTCATACGCATGCGTAGTCTGGGCACTAGACTTTCTACCCATACACAATTTATGGCCACAGTATTACACAATTTTACATAATGCAGGTGCATAGATAAACTGTCCCTTCTTTTACACACACAACAGGTCCAGCGACAGATGTTAAAGGTCTTTAGAATAACATGCACCCACTCCCACACTCCCACGAAAACAGAGTCAGTGATGTTCTTCAATGGGATAGTTGTTTTTTGTGCCCACCACCTAGCTACATCGTGACAATGAGGAAAAAGTATGGTCAACCCTGGTAGCATCTCACACGTTATGCAGAGACTTAGACTCTTTAGTCATGCGTAGCTACCCAACAGCATGAAACATAGTACATAATTATACATGTCTAATGGTCAACTTAATAAAGGTTTGAAAGCTGATAACTTCTACTGCGTCATCAATCATCAGTGTTGTTGGCAGCATTACTTGACTTTTTGCACAATGGAAGACCACTTCTTTTCCATTCCAGGTAGCTACTCAGTCTACCATCAACAAGTTGTTTACTGATGCTGTTGGCATTGAAGAATGCACACAATATTGTAACAGAAATAGCTAACACTGGGTTTCTGTAGCCAGGTGCTGTAGGTTGAAAGTTGATAGACACCCCACGACAACAGATGTTCATCATTTTTTACCACCCACGGAACTATATACCTGTACACTGTGGGATTTGTGACATTACTGTCTGTAAAAAAGTTCTCACCAAAAAGCGAAAACCATTTAATATACTAAGAAATCAAGCCTTAGTTCAGCTCTTGGAGACCACTTCATTTTTGGTTGGTGACTTATCACAGGTAGCTCTAGTCACCTTACGGAATGTCTTTCGAAACAAACTTGACAACATAGTTAGTTTGCTATATATAGATACTCAGCCTTCCTTCAACAGTGTTGCTTACTGATAGCTAGCTACTGTTGGCAGGAAAAAACATGCACCCACTGGGTAACAAGAAGAAAAAAAACAATGTTTTTAGCTAAGTGCGCTGTATGTTGCCTTCATGTCAATAGACCAACAATGAAATGTTGTCCATATCTGGCTAAAAACTAAGTTTGCATGGCTTACAAGTGTAATTAACCCTCTGCGCGCATGCGCACCGAGGGTTGCACTTGGTCTGTCCGTCTGTTTGTCCGTCTGTTACCACGTTTTTGATGCCACCACGCGACACCGACGGGTTCAGCGCTACACTGGCTTCATTTCAAAAACGGCGATTTTCGTAAAAAGTGCCGCGTTCAGAAGTTATGCCGTGAAAATCAAGTGAACAAGCCAATTGCTAATTAGCAGAGGCTCGACCGGGTCCGCTTGTTCTGTGGATGTTGAAGTCGCAACAAACAATGGACTCCCAGGGACTGACATGGGTACCTAGCATCATAGGGAGTTTTGTTCATCATCTTCTTCTTCTTCTTCTTCTTCGACCAGCGTAACTCAAAAACCGAAAGAGATAAAGCCATGAAATTTTGTAGGAATGTACATATCGATAACCACATGGGACTCATCATACTTTTTTGTTTGTAAACAATGTTGTTTACTGTAAACAACAACAACATTGCCCCAGGCAATACATTAATAATGGGCAATACGTTATAATGGGCATACTACATGTGTCAGTGTAACTCACAATTGGTAAGAGTTATGCGAGCGAAAGTTTGTATACACAATGTATTCAATAGCCAACATCAAAATCCCAACAATACATGTTTGTAAATAACAACAAATAGCCTCAGGCACTTTTCTTTAATTTAACTTCTTCACTTCTCAAACTTTCCAATGGTAGCACGAATAGAGATGAAACTTGGTACGTATGCCTATTATATCATTTCCATGACGATTACATGTTTCCATGACGACCGCATATGGTTCGAAAAGGCCTCGCAATTTTCTTTAAATTACTTCTTCACTCCTCAAACTTGCTAATTGTAGCACGCATGGAGGTGAAACTTGGTGCGCATGTGTATTACATCGTTTCCATGACAACTACAACAACAAATAGCCTCAGGCACTTTTCTTTAAAATTACTTCTTCACTCCTCAAACTCACTAACAGTATCACGCATGGAGATGAAACTTGGTGCGCATGTGTATTACATCGTTTCCATGACGACCACAACAACAAATAGCCTCAGGCAATTTTCTTTAAATTACTTCTTCACTCCTCAAACTTGCTAATTGTAGCACGCATGGAGGTGAAACTTGGTGCGCATGTGTATTACATCGTTTCCATGACAACTACAACAACAAATAGCCTCAGGCACTTTTCTTTAAAATTACTTCTTCACTCCTCAAACTTGCTAACTATAGCACGCATGGAGGTGAAACTTGGTGCGCATGTGTATTACATCGTTTCCATGACGACCACAACAACAAATAGCCTCAGGCACTTTTCTTTAAAATTACTTCTTCACTCGTCAAACTTGCTAACGGCAGCACACATGGATGGATGCATTTCATTTCCATGACGACAATTTTTAGGGGCTTGCCCCCTTCCACAGAGATAATACGTAGTAGTATATAAAAATGAGTGGAGACAAGTAAATAAAAAATCCTGCGGATTAAAAAAAGAGTGCATATAGGGATCGTATAAAAAGAAAGGGAGACAAGATAGGGATTGTGTTTGTGGAAGCACAGAGATGCTAGCGAGGAGTTAGGACTCCCACAGGTCATTACAACAGCCCTATATCGTCGTATCGGTGCTTTACTACTTCCTCGTGAATATATCAGCCAGCCTTGCATACTTGAATTTTGTTTTCTTGCGTTATACAATTTTTCCATGTTTCCATGTATAAACATGTATATCCAATGTTATGGTCAGCTGATTACACTTCCACCTAAATGCGCACTCCATGGAAAGTAGCCTGACAAATCTATCAAGGGGTAATTAGTAAGTACTTCATACCTATAGCAATATTTAAGATTCTCTAATCACTCCACTCCCACCCTACGAAGAAGATTGAAAACTTTCCCTATCATAGCCCCATACATCTATATATGATGCTAGGTATTCCCACCGTACGACGATATAGGGCTGTTGTAATGACCTGTGGGAGTCCTATCCTATCGACTCCCGCATGCTACGTATCTACTACTATAGCTAGCCCGTGTGAGACTCTTCGTGAGCTACTAGCGGGAGACCACGAGTAAACGCATACCCAGGCCAACACATCACTTAGCTGTACCGCGCATGCGCAGTTCGCCGAGGGTTTCCACTTGTTTACAACGATCATTTCATTGAACAGTTGTATTGATGTGTGCTTGAGTCACAACTTGAAAAAAAAATTTATATTAGAGTTTCCACAAACATAGTTTGAGAACTATCTATATAGAAAACGTTTCAGTTTCACATGAACATTGACAATTGTTTGTCACTCAATGATGAAGTCAGTTTTCAGGTTCATTCTGTTCCTGCCACAGCCAGTGGGTACCACCTTCAGGACATGTCTCCCAGAACTCAACCCACTCACCACCACTGGACTGGAGCCTGCAGTCATGACACCACAACTCACCACTAGCTACCTGGAAACACACTCAGTAGCTACACAGACTTGGCATACACTGGTAGGGCTCCATCTTGTCCAGGTAACAGAAGTAGCCGTGGGCAGGTCCCCTCCCAGTGAACTCTACTATGGCACTGTCTCCACTCACACTCACTCCACCATTGATGAGGTGGAGAGTACAGCGCTCCATATCGTCTGTGATCTCGAAACGAGACCTGATAAACTCCTTGTCAGGTCTGCGGTTGGTGGCCACTACTCTCAGAGTGTAGACAGCAGGACTCAGTCCAGAGAACTCCACATAACCACCGGAGCCTGCAATTCAAATTTACTGGCTTATGTGTTTGAAGAGGCAACTAGGCATTGCTATATATAATATACCCAGTAATGTATTTGGGAGTAGGAGCTCACAGTTTTTCTCAGTTCTGAAGGATCCTCCCTTGAGTCTGCAGACCAGAGACTGGACAGGTCGTGAGAGAAGGATGTGGGCCTCTACAGAGTCTCCCTGGACAAGAGGAGAGTCCTTGATGAATGCCACCTCCAGTGGAGGAACTGCAGCTGAGGCTGGAAAGGAAAACGAGGGCATTAGCATAGCAAGGTCTGAGCTACATGAACAGGATAACCAGTGGGTTTGGAGTCTTCCTCGAGGAAGTAAGGGACGGTTTCCTCTGCCTGGAATCCCTCATCGTCTTCAACAAAGATGGTGAGTGTGTGGCTCCCCAGAGGAGACACATCTCTATTGATGGCCACTGGGTAGGAACCTGCCATGGAGGGTTACATAAGAATGTACCTAGTTACATAAGGAAGTGAGAGCCGCATACACTGGTGTTTGAGTCCACCATTGAAGGAGCAGAGAGTGGTCTGAGGAGGTCTGTTGGTCTTGCAGTCAATGTCAATGTGGTCACTGGTGGTCCTAGCCTCACACTCCAGCACAAGTGGCTGAGCTGGAGACACAAGAAATACTTATAAACTTAGGTACAGGAATGAAGTGAGGACATTAACTCACGCAGACAGTCATTGACTGAGGAAGCTCCAGGTAATGAGGTAGTGTGGTACTTCGGACACTGGCTGCATGTGATGCTCCCGAGAGCATCGGCATAAGTGTCGAGTGGACATCTCTCACACACTGGAACACTCTCACTGAAACTGACTCCATTTACAATCCGAGAACGCTCGATCTCAGAGGAGAAGTGCCCTCGCTCGCAGCTCACTAAGGATAGAGTTCAGGTCACAGCTTCTACCAAGAGTGAGAGGGTTAGAGAGTGGCTTACAGCAGAGGAGGTAGTCGGAGTTGAGTCTCTGTCCTGGTGGACACACGTACCTCAACTTACCCACTACCAGAGAGTCTTCCACAACTGAAGATCCAGTCCCCGGACAGATGAGGCCCCCAGTGTCTCCATTTAGAAGATCAGTGATCAGTTGTACACTCTTCCGAAGGCTCCTTGCATGAGGAAGTGCAGAGTTTGCAATCTCGGCAAACGTCGAGAGGTGAAGGTAGGGTGTGGTGATGTTTTGGCTCACAAGACTCAGGGATACGTCATAGTTCTCTGAATCCACTTCTGCCACATTGAAATCTTCGATGGTAGACGTTTCTCCATCGATAGTCTCAGATATTAGGAGTAGAGAGAGTCATACAAATCTTCTGCTGTGCAGGTTCCATTGGAAATGAATACGGAGAACTCCAGAGGGAACTGATGCTGGGACACAGTGAACGGAAGAAGTGTCAGGGTCACTGGCTCGGAACGAACACTGCCGTGATAGTTGAATGCCTCGCAAGCATACATACCCTCGTCCTCTACTTGGGGATCCACGATAAGTAGTTCGTTGGTTAGTTCTCCTTCGACGATTGTCCAGTCTGACTCAGGAGAGCTGCGATGGTACCACCTCCAGCCAGGGTAGGGCCAGGCCGATGCGTTGCAGGCAAACCAGGCCCCATTCCCGTCACCAAAGTAGGTGACGACAGACTCTGGGGAGAGATAGAACTGCGGGAGCTCATAGACTGTGACACTGGTGTCGATAGACTCGGCAGTGCCCACTGGGTTGCTGGCCACACAGGTGTAGTTGGCCGAGTCCTGTCGCTGCACGGCAGCAAGGACCAACTCGTTTGTGGTGAACTGTGGCAGTACATTACCACCCCTCATCCAGTAGTATGTCAGAGGTAGGTTTGACTCTGCCTCGCATGATAATCGCAGGGTGGCCCCCAGAGAGATGTTCACCTCGGGCGGTGGCTCTGTGATCATAACTGGAGGTTCGTTACACCAGTAATTGTCTGTTGCATAGGCCGTTGTGATTTCGATGATAGGGTCCACCCTAGCCAGACCTTCCTGGATGGAAACGTTGGAGAGAAGAGCCAACTCCAGCAACCTCTTGGCGGCCAGTGGAAAGCTTGGTCTCAGAGAGATGAACTCTAGGCTCAGTTGACTGTCTGGAGTCAAGTCTATCAGGTTCAGGAGTTGGTCAGTGGAGGTCTGGAGGCAGTCGGCCAGTCCATCGCAGCCCACCTCCCCAACTGAGCCCGACTCTGAGTACAGGAACTCCATGCTGGCCTGCCACTCTGAGAAGATGGTGCTCTCCAGTGCCCGCAGAGCCTCCATCGACAGGTCTTCGTAGTCCCTAATGAGGTCCAGGTAGGCCGCAAACTCCTCGTCCTCCTGTGGTCCGTCCTCACTCAGACTCTCCGAGAGCCCACCGGCTCCTTCACGAGAGGTGTTAATGTTCTCTTGAATCTCTGTTAGTCTGGCCTGGATCTCGGCAAAGAAGAGTTGTGTGTTTGAGATGTGAGTGCAGCGAGAGGCAAAGATCTGTCTCGGAGTGAGATCTGTTGTTGTCTGTCTCCTCAGCCTTGTCTGTAGCCACGTACTTCGCTTGGAGTCACCAATGAATGCTGTGTCTATTATTCCATCGGCCATTCTTTCAAGGTTGACTGCTTCTGATTGTGTTGAAATGTACAGGTATGATTCTCGGTACTCAGTTCCACTGTTGTCTATCAGATTCTGAAACACCACATTGAAGGCCAAGGATGTTGGACTGTTGGTTAATTTTGTATTGAATGTGACACCATTGATGCTGAAGACATTCTGATACCCACTGTCATTGCCACTTTCATATATTCTCAGAATTGGTTCCACTTCTTCCAATGTACGGTCATACACCGTTTCAGAGTTATCACGTGCTTTTTGAAGTCTCTCCAAACTCATCGCCAACTGATCCACCCTCTGTTTGTAAATTTCGTATTCAACACCAGCTCTTCTCTTAGCAGTTTGGGCCAACGAGCGGTTCCTTCGAGCTTCCACCAACTGTTGAAACAGTTCCCTAGCCTCGTCCCCGACACCCTGTGCATCACCTGCTTCCCTCTGGCGCATTGCTCTACAGTCTGCATTGTTTCTAACACACGAGGGATCTGGTACCCTCGCAGCACACGTCACATTCTCACAACATGTACTGGGAACCGAAGAGTTGTAGATTTGGACAGTGCAATTTTCAAATGATGGTACGTCCACTTCTACCATTCTCCAGTAGTACACCGGAAGACGTGATTCAAACACCGGAACACATTTCCCATAGCATACTTTATCGACACCCACTGGACAGTCTTCCTTAATGCACACCTGCTTGTTCTCAAGACGGCACTGAGTCACAAATATCCACGTGGTTCTTGTTACAAAGAACGGAGGAACACGTATATTTCTGACTTCTTTGACTGTGATTGGACACTTTCCAGTCTTTTCAATGAAAGTTGGCATGGAGCAGTTTCTGCACACTTCTCCAGGCATGCAAACATCCCTACACACCTCTTCCGTGCACCGTTTGTCAATGTCCACCAGTTCTTGTAGCTCATCTCGGCTATCATTGAACTGCCGTTCGACTTGCTGCAATCTCATTGTTGCTTCATTAACACGTTCATTTGCCGAGTTTCTCCTTTGTTCAGCTAGTGACACGTTTGCAACTGCCTCGTTGTATTGATCTTCAACGGCAAGAAGCCTCTTTCCAGACTGATCAAGAGACATCTGAGCTACTCCTCGTCGTGAATTTGCCGATTCGGCCAGCATTCGCAGCTTATTTGTAACCACTTCACTCAGGCTCTCTACGAAGCTGCCACTGCCTGAGAGTAGGGAGCCGTCCACAGTCAATTCCAGGTCCTGCCAGTCA